AATTTATTTTGATTAATGAAAATAAATATTAGATCAAATCAAATGATTTTCATGGTCTTCTTACAGGCAAAATAGTTAACGACAGATGATGTGTTGCATGACGCTTTCTTACATACCCAAGTAGATGGCCTTTTGATTACTTGAATGGGGCAACCAAAACGGTTGTTGTCACAATGTGTATAGAAATGTGAATCATCAACTTGGATGAAATAATAAAACAATGAGTAAATCACAAATTTCATCACTAAACTTTACCATCTCTCTTATTTTACTCATTTAATTTTAAAAGTTTTCAATTTTCTCACTGAATTTTAATGGCGTAAAAAACAATTTCGTTTTAAAAAAAACAAAATTTTCATCAAAACAACGGCATTTTGCATCTACATAATTGCTCATTTTAACGTCGTTACTATTTAACGACCGAGTGACAAAAAATCCCAATGTATTAAGTTCAGTGAGGAAATTGAAAAGATTAAAAGTACAATTACTGAAATAGAAGAGAAAGAGTAAAATTCAGTTACCAAATTTATAATTTGCCCTAAAAATATAAAATATATTAATACTTTTATATGTTATACTACACATAAGATATAATGGTCAAAATCCATAGAGAAAAGAAACTGCTACACCACTATACATTTTTTTAATTCCCAAAATTCTAGTCTTGCAGTCCAATGACATATTGGCAGATACCAAATTGCTCAAGTAAGTAGATTGCCATGATTAAAATTTACATGTGCTTTGAAGAGATTTGATCCCCTCCAACTCATTTTAGATATGGGCTATGATGTTAAAAGAATTAGCTCATTAAAGAAACAAAAAGTGGATCACTTTAGGGTTAGTGAGAGGAGTAGGATCCCCAAATGCCACCAATCCCCTTCAACATCTCTGTTAAGTTGTTTCAATCATTGAGTTTAAAAATAGTAAAAATTATTCCTTTTCCCCCTCGTCTCCCTTCTTCTGGGTAGTTCTGTTGTATGACAGTTTAATATAAGGTTAAGAAAAGACGTTATAAGAAATATTAATATATTTTAAACATTTTTTGTAGAGCTACCTAAAATGTTATTTTTTCTACTGAAAATGTTAATTTCTCTACCTAAAATGAATATTTCAGATATTAACATTTCCGGTAAAAAAAATAACATTTTAGGTAGCACCCGATATTAATATTTCCGGTAGAAAAATAACATTTTAAGTAGTGCTCTACCGAAAATATTAAATATTAAAATTTCCGATATCACCTTTTCTTAGCTTTATATTAGACTGTCATTCCTTAAACATCCCCTTCTTCTAGGGTTTTGTTTTTCAAATATTGTCTCACGTAGAGAATTTCCTTTTTGCATCTTTATTAATTTGATATCATTTAGGGTTAATGGATTTGGTGATAATTAAACTACATGAATAATGGAATGAAAATGGGTTTTTGCCGACCATTTAATTGAAATGTTAATTCAATCTCACTAGCCAGTTGCAATCGTATGTATGTAATTATTTGATGTATTTATGTGTTATCTTTTTCCGAAATAATCTGAGATGATTATAAGTAAATATTTATTCAATATTTTCTTAACGAGTTAGATATATACTTTATAACGCAACTACTCAAATCTAAATTTTTTAAAGAGAATAATATTGACACTAAGTTAACTAACAGTTAGGATGAAATAGTAATGCTTTTGACTGAAGTTAAATGTTAAAAGTTAATATCATTAATAAAATAAAAGGGTAAAGAACGTAGATAGTCCTCCAATTATAGAGTATTACTTTATTAAGTCACTCGATTATTAAAAGTAACAAAATAATCATTCGACTATGAATCATAACTAAAAAAACATACCATAATATAGTCATTAGACAATCAATAAATCGAATACGGATAGATATACAAAAAAATTTACGTGTGTTAGAATTGGTTAATAAATTACTATTCACTAATATGTATAGTTGATCATAACTAATATGCACCTGCAAGAACAGTACATACCATATTATATATGTATAAACAGCTTTAGCCTGCCTTAGACCTTGCCTTCCCCGTATATTGATTGTTCTTTTTCAGTACAAGTCAAATTATCAAACACCTTCTGGACATTATATAGCCAGGCATGCATCTCTCTCTCTCTCTCTCTCTCTCTCTCTCTCTCTCTCTATATATATATATATATATATATATATATATATATATATATATATATATATATATCTACTAATAAATATAAGCAATTAACGTTGTCCCCCCACTTTCCAAGGCATTATTAAATGAAAAACCCGTATTTATTATTTAATTGGAAATATAGCTCACAAATAATATTAATTAGAAAAATATTCTCAAATTATTTATATATTATGATCTTACATTTTACGAAAAATAAGTTTCATATATTTATTATGTTATTTATCCAAAAATTAAATAAAATTATCTTAATAGATATTCAGTACTTACTAATCAACTCTAAACAATAAAACATGAAAATTTACTCTATCACAACTCAAGTACAATTAGGGATGAATCGAGGAGTGGCTGAGAATAGTCGTCCCTCTCAAAGTTTTAAATTATTATATATTTTAAATATTTTATTGATAATATGTTTCGTTCCTACTAAAATTTTTGAAGTTCGTTCTATAATATGAAATCATGTGTTTGTCACTTAACACAACATATCTAGATGATTAAGAGCACCTATCAATTTGAGATAATCAACCCGAAGGTAGATAAACAAGATAACCAAAGAATCGTTAACTGACAAGGCGACGATACATCTAACCCTAAAAAAAACTTACAAAAGTACAAGAAAAACGTATTATAAGAGTAGATAGAAACGTTCATCGTTTTTGTAGAAAGGAGAAGACTTACTAAAAATATACTTAAAAGTAAAATGGTAAATTAAATAAGAAAAGAAATATGAATTTGAAATTGGAAGTTGGTGGAGATTTTAGTGAGGGGGCAATATATGGGTGAGTTCCTTTTGAGCTCTATGAAGGGATTGATAGCCACAACCACCCATTAAAAGAGTGGAGACACTTTCTTCTTTAAAAGTGAGTTCCAATCACCCTTTGAAAACCATGCCTTATCAACCCACCCATCAATTTTGTCAAAATTAATGAACTCTTTAAAACATAATTATTCTTATCATACATCGGTATCTGATGTATTAATATCATAGTTATGTGTTTAATTTACGATTATAATCGTAAATTTTTCATTATAATTCTGGATATTTTCTTACTTTTATAATAAGACTAGCAGCTTCTCTTTACATCAAGAAATAGAGTTAAAACATTATTAATCTAAAATTCTGAATTCTCTCATTCTGAAAAGGTCCATTAATGGAGATTTCTCTTCTCATTCCTTAAATCGGTGGTGGCCGTGGTAGTAGATAAGAAGATGTATAGGTTTTAACTTAATCTAAAGAGAATTAAGTAAAATTGTTCTATATGTTCTTCATTTTTCTTATCATATCATCATTTAATTTCATAAGATATTTCGAAAGAAAAAAAATAAAACATAAGAGACACTCGATGACTCCCCTATCCAGGACCAGGCATTCTAAGATCCAATCGAGATTTATGTAGGAATTTATAGATTGCCCACCAAGAGTGAAGGTGGTATGATTCGAACTTTTACTTACAATCTCAAATTCTTGAATCACAACCACTTGTGTCAACTCTCGTTACATTTGTATAATGTTATAATTATCTTTTATATATCTATGAATAATTACAATAATATTTCATAAGATATTTCGAAAGAAAAAAAATAAAACATAAGAGACACTCGATGACTCCCCTATCCAGGACCAGGCATTCTAAGATCCAATCGAGATTTATGTAGGAATTTATAGATTGCCCACCAAGAGTGAAGGTGGTATGATTCGAACTTTTACTTACAATCTCAAATTCTTGAATCACAACCACTTGTGTCAACTCTCGTTACATTTGTATAATGTTATAATTATCTTTTATATATCTATGAATAATTACAATAATATTTCTCTCTATATTATTTTTATCTAAGTCTTCATTTTACATAATAAAAAAATGAATTTGTTTGAATAAGGTCAGATGTCAAATTTATTGAGTTAAATTTTGAATTTGATAGGGTATTATTAAATTCAGATCAAATTAAATATAAATAAAAAAAGATTTTTTTTAAAATTGAGTTCGAGTAAGCCAAAAACTCGACTCGATCTATGATAATCTAATATTATATATAATCTTCCAAGCTAAAAAAGGTGGATTTTTCATTAATTTACTAGCTATTAAAAAAAATGAAAAAGTGAAAAGAAAAAAAAGAAAAGAGAAAAGCAGGGAGAGAAAATGGAGAGATAAGTAACACCTGGTTGCAGGAAACTGTGGAGTATTGACCTCTAAAAATAATGGTGCGTTTGGTTCGTGAAATGTAAGATTATCAGTGAGAATGTAAGATTATCAGTGAGAATGTATGATTATCAGATAATAAGATTACTGGAAATGTTATATTTTGTGTTTGGTTGGCTTAACAGGAATGTAAGATTACCGTGTTTGATTAAAGGAATAAAAGATTATTAGAATGTACATTTGACCAAATTGTCCTTATTATATATTTGTTTTTTTAACAAATTAGAAAATATTTATATATTTTCTTTAAAAATTTAAATTCATAAAATTTATATATATTTTTTTACAAAATTAAAAATATAAAAAGGTTTAATGAAAGAGTAAAATTTTATTTTAACCCCTGAACTTCATATAAAATTTTAATTATATATATATTTTTTTGTAAATCTAAAATAGTTTAAAGATAAATTTGTAATTTAACATTCATATAATTTTTATTATTCAATAAAAAAAGAAAAATATTTAAAAAAAATTAAAATCATTTTAATTCAAAACATCAATAATCCAATATTACATAAGTGGAAAAAGTGAAGCGTTACCGTTAAGTAACGGCGACTTTAATCGGCTGTATCTAGTGAAGGCTTTTACTCATGAAACCCTCTATATCCGGACGCTGCTCGCCATTCTGTTTCTCTCTCCGCCTTCAACCTTTGCATTCGCTGCTCTTCTCATTGTTCTTTGGTCTCTCTTTTTCTTAAAATAAATCAATTTTCCTTAACCGTAAAACGAAGGAAGAGATCGAAACAGCGTAAGCGTGTAATAGAGGAAAGATAAGGGAATAATAAGAGGGGAAAATGGTTTTAAAATTCGTGGAAGATGATGATTTGGTGGAGATGAACTTCGTAATCGTTCATAGAGGTCCCTCTTCATCTCGATTCCTCGATGCTTATCCCAAAAGGTACTCTTTTTAAGATCCCTTCCTTTCTGTCATAGAAAAAGTTCGTCCTTTAAGGGAAAAAAAAAGATTATTTCATAGAAAGGGAAAATAAGAATTGGGTTTTCTTTCTTTTTTATGGATTTGATGTTTTTGATTCAGTTTTTCCCACATGTGTTTGGAGAATTTGGGGAGATTCTAGGGTTAGAGTTAGATATCGTCTTTATTTAACAGCTTGACAGTGAAAGCTTTTGTTATCTTTTTTAAACAAAGTTTTTTCCCCTTCTTTTAAATGTTGTTTCAGTTGTATTTTTTTAATTAGTTAGGGTTATTGAATTGATAAATTTTGTTAATTTCTGTGATTTTTTGTGGGTATATGTGTTCTTTCTGATTGATAAATTCTAGGGTTTTGATGGAGGGGAGATCATGTGGTGATTGATATGATGAAGATGATGATGATGAAGGTGTTCATAAGATTGTTATTTAGTTGAATTCTTAGTTTATGGATAACAATGGAACAAATTAATCCACCAGCAACAGTACCTACCTTCTCCAGCCGGATAACCTGAAACGGGAGATTCTTTGCTCACAGCCTTGTCAATGGAGAATCATCATCCTTCCACTCTCTTATCTATGGATTCAAGTGCTTCCTCCCATGATGAATTGGATTTGGAAATGAATAGGCTGATCGTTCTTTCTCGGCCACCTGACATCAATTTGCCTCTCTCCGCCGAGCTTAGCCCTCCCCCGCAGTCGTGGAACTCGTTGGACCATTGTGATATTTTGGATGTTGGTCTTGGTTCACAAGTTTATGAGACCGAGAGCTACCTCACTGCACCCAAGACGGGACGAAAATTTGCCAAGCGGGTGGATAGCATATGGGGTGCTTGGTTGTTCTTTAGTTTTTACTTTAAACCTGCTTTGAATGACAAATCGAAGGGCAAGATTATTCGCGACAGCAACGGTGTTTCTGGTTTTGATAAATCGGATCTGAAGTTGGATATTTTTATGGTTCAGCACGACATGGAGAATATGTACATGTGGGTTTTCAAGGAGAGACCCGAGAACGCACTGGGTAAGATGCAGCTCCGAAGCTACATGAATGGCCATTCTCGTCAGGGAGAGCGCCCGTTTCCGTTTAGTGTGGACAAGGGATTTGTCCGTTCACACAGGATGCAACGGAAGCATTACAGAGGATTGTCGAACCCTCAGTGTGTACATGGGATCGAGGTTGTTCCATCGCCGAATCTCATGGCTCTCAGCGAGGACGATCGGAAAAGGTGGACAGAGGTTACTGGAAGGGATATAAACTTTACAATTCCACCTGAGGCTAGCGACTTTAGTTCGTGGAGGAACCTCCCAAACACGGATTTTGAGCTAGAGAGGCCTGTTCCTCCCCCTTCGATAAAGAGTGCTGCAAATTCTCACTCGAAAAAGCTGCTTAATGGATCTGGCCTCAATTTGTCTACTCAGCCACCTAGCCATAGCAATGGCGATGGGATGGACTTATCACTTGTCAGCAGCAAAAGGAGGAAAGAACTTTTTCCGCATGGAAATGATGAGGTTTGCTATTTGTCCGCCATTCCTCCGTCCGATATGGAAATTCATTCCAGCGAGCAACACTGGTTAAACGACGTGAGCGGGGTAATGAAAAATGTGTACGGGCCTGTAACTGCCGCAAAAACCATCTACGAAGATGAAGCGGGTTACTTGATCATTATAAGCTTGCCTTTTGTTGATCTTCAAAGGGTGAAGGTCTCTTGGAGGAATACTCTGACACATGGTATCATAAAGATATCTTGTGTGAGCACATCCGGCATGCCGTTCATCAAGAGACACAATCGGACCTTCAAACTGACGGATCCGTGTTCTGAGCATTGCCCGCCTGGGGAATTCGTTAGAGAGATCCCATTGTCGACTCGAATCCCCGAAGATGCTAACATAGAAGCATATCATGATGGGTCGGGATCTGTCCTCGAGATTATGGTGCCGAAACTGAGAGAGGCGACCGAAGAGCACGAAGTACTGGTGTGCCTCCGGCCAAAGCTTGTTGGGAGTGATCTCATGTTGACATGAAGTAACAATGAATTATAAAAAGGGTGTTTGGGATGATTGATTGGTGCTTTTACTAACATTGTATCATACAGTGTAATCTATGAAACAAAATCTGCGTCTCAGATTTGGCTTTCGCCAATTTCTTGCTATGATTTTTGTTTGTTTGACTGTAATGCGAATTGATGATATTCAAAGATTGATGATTATAGTTATAGAAAATCTATTAAATTGATATCAAATATTATCATAATATTATAAATATTTACGATTAAATTTAAACAGAAATTTGAATAACTTGTCTTAAAAAAATTTCAAATAAAGTTCAAGTTATAAAAATAAGATTCGTCAACTTGAATAATTTAAAAAATTTTAACTTGATTTGATCGAATGTTCACCTAGAGGTGGTAAATGTGTCATTCGGATCGGGTTCAATTCTGATCATTTCAGATTTTGATTTTATTTGGTTTTATAGTAAGTCGGGTCGGGTTCGGATCGAGTCATTTCAGGTTTTTGATTTTATTCGGGTCTATAGTAAGTCGGGCCGGATCAAATTAAATTAATTAATTTTCGAGTCAAATCAATAACCGATCAATTATTTTTACCTTGGGACAACTTTGAATATTCGGACCAATTCGAGTCTATGTTGGAATAGTTCCTTACAATATAGTACAATATAAAGTTAGCAATGGTTGGAAAAGAAGGAAAATGAAATCCCAGGGGTGGAATTGGGTTTTTCGTAAACATACCACCTAAGCAATCCAGGTACAGTTCAGTTCACCAACCAAATCACTTGGGGAACGGGAACCGCAGATGATATATCTTAATCTGACGGCTTAAAACAGCATAATCACACATGACACGGATCAATTTACTGACCGTTGGATAAAACATTAATCCAACAGATATTCTCTTGCGTCCGCTCCACTTGCAATCTTTAACCAATAAAATCAAAAACCACGGATCTCTATTATATACCGTCGATAATGTTCCGATCGAACGGCATATATTATTCTCTCTCATTGCAAACCCGGAGAAATACACCCCTATTTAAACCTCTTCCACATATCCCCACCTCAAACAAGCAAACTCACACAAAAACAAACAAAAGCCCTTTTCAAGTATTTCGAATTTTCTCTGGAAAATGTCGGGGCGAGGAAAGGGAGGCAAGGGATTAGGAAAGGGAGGAGCAAAGAGGCATCGGAAAGTGCTCCGGGATAACATTCAGGGCATTACGAAGCCGGCGATCAGAAGGTTGGCTCGTAGGGGTGGGGTGAAGAGAATCAGCGGGTTGATCTACGAGGAGACGCGCGGCGTTCTCAAGATCTTTCTGGAAAATGTGATCCGGGATGCGGTGACCTACACGGAGCACGCTAGGCGGAAGACTGTCACGGCGATGGATGTCGTTTACGCTCTCAAGAGGCAGGGCAGGACTCTTTACGGCTTCGGTGGTTAGGAATTTATTCACTTGGTTCTGTAAATCTCTCGCCTTTGTTTAGCTATTTTTGTAGTTCAATTTTGACTATTAGAATGCCCTTCCCCTTTTTATCTTTACTGAAATTTGATCCCAAAGTTTCATGTGAAAAATCTCCTTTGTTTTATCAATTTTCTTCCTCGATGTTATCATCTTACTTTTGAGCAATTCATCCATGTCGGAAATCATCCTGAATCCTGAAACTGAATTTGATGTCATCCTTCAAAATTCTTGATCCAAAAATTTCATGAGAAAATCTCATTTGACTTGTCAATTCCCCCTTCAAATTTCTTTATTTTATGGTATAAATTAATGATAATACTTGTTATGTAAATAATTATAATATTGTAATCTCTAATTATTTTTCATTTAATATGATCTCTAAATAGTTGGTAAAAGGATTCAAATCAATTATGAAGTTTCATTTCACAATTAGTGTTTTTCTTTACAACTAATCCTCTTTCTAATCTTGGGCAATTTGCCCTTCCTCTACAAAATATTAACTGCTTTCAGACGTGAAAATTATGCAAGAAATTACATTAGTAAAACCGTTCGAAAGATAAAAAGGAAAAGGAGTTTGCCAAAATTGTACCAACTTCACCAGTAGCCCCACTTACCAACAATTTTCTCAGCAGCTCTACTTGTATCAACCTGACCATGAATCAGAGAATTTCATTTATGCATTGCAAAACATAAATAAGATCACGAAATAGAAACCAATAATTTAATAGACTTGGCAAATTTGATTTTAACATGATTTATCCGAATCTAGACTCGAAATAGATCTGAACAGGGTGACCCGAATTTTGAAAAAAATGAATCAATTGAAACTAATATGAATTTTAGTCAAACCGAAAGTAACTAACACATAATTGAGATCGATCTGAATTTAACCAAATCAAAAGTAATCTTAATTGAAAGCAATCAAACAAAAAATATCCTAAATTGAAATTAACCCGAATTTAATGTACTCAAACTTGATTATTTTTACAAAAATATATTAACAGTTCTATATATATTTGATTTCACTTTTATTTAACTTAACTAAAATTGATCTGAAAATTCAAAGTTGATCTAAACTTAATAATTGATCATTGACATGATTTGAAGATCAATCGATTTGATCTGATTAGAAATCAACTGATTTGATATTGATCTGACTCGACTTACTATAGATCAGAGTAAAATCGAAACTTGAAATGATCTGATCCGATCAGGATCCGATCCAACTTATTATAAACCCGAATAAAATAAAAAACTGAAATGACCCGATCCAATCCAAACTTGACCCACATTCAGTCTAAATCAAAATGACTCGAACCGAACCTGATTTGAATGACTCGTTTTCCACATCACTATCTAATAGTACTAATTAGCATGGGAATGTATAAGAAAATTAACCTTAAAGAAAGCCTCCACCCACCCAGGTAGCATCTGATTTTTCATTGCGAGCAACAGCCCTTTTGTTGGGAACACCATCATGGAAATGATCAAATCCACCATCCTTGGCATCATCCCAACCAGCCCAACCATCTGTGGCGGTCACATCTGAAGTACCTAGGTCCATCCTTTTGTCATTGGTGTCCCAGTCATCCCAAGAACTTGAGCTATGAGAATTGTGATTCCCGCCAGAGGAGGATTGTCCTCCAGAAGTAGAATCCCATCCTTTGTTCCTCCGGTTAAAGTCATGATCAGATCCCTTCTTCCCGCTTTCGTTCTGCTGCCAGTTATCGTTGTTCCAGCTCATGCCATCTTTCGCGTACTCCTCAACCTTTTGTGTAGCTAAGGCCATGACTCCTCTCATGATCCCCCATGTTCTCTGCCCAATCTCTGTTGTCTTTGCGGTGACAACACTAATAGTTTCATTAACCTTGGTATCATAGCCACCCTCCTTTACCTGAACAAAATGATGCATCATGTTTGCGATGGTGGATACATAAATATTTTTTAAGGTGAACCTGTATATATTAATAATACAAAATTTTTATATGTGGAATGAATACAGATAAAATTTTAGGATAAACACAATTAATAAAATAAATAATTAATCGAAGAAAATTAAATTTTCATAGCTAACACTTTCCTACCCCGAATGACGTGCGCATTTGCCTCTACATGGCCAATGGAAGTTATTTAGGTACCATATACTTACAAATAGCATTACAAGAAAAGAAAATAAATCATGTTATAGCTATAGCATCAACAACTTAGCCAAGTGAAATGCCACGAGAACAGTAACACGTTTTTGAACATTTAAAAGGGCACAAATAAGTAGAGAACTGAGGGCTGCTTAAGGGTTCAACTTTTGGCGGGTGAGCGTGAAAGCAACGAGCAATTGGATTTGGAGAAGGTTAATAAAGCTGAGAGCTGTTATGGTGCACTTGGATTTCTCTGACCCTAGATTCGCTCTTGCTAAGGTTTGGGATGTTGTCCGGCATAGGAAGGATAAGGGTTATGGTGCGAATTGAGCGAGTCGATCGCAAGTTGGACTCGTGCTCATTAAAAAAAATTCATTGCTCGATTCGACTCATTGCTTGCTAAGCTCGTTAAAATTTTGCTCGACTCGTGCTCGTTAAAAAAACTCGTTGCTCGTCAAGTTCACCGAAATTTTTACCTTATTTTTTAAAAATATAGGTAAAATCAACTAATACTATATATAGCTTAAGATAAACATAAATTAATAAATTTAACTAAAAAAGTATAAAAAGAATGTATTAAACAATTTCAAAATCTAAACTCCAAAGTAACAATCTAGAAATACATTAAAATAATAAATATGGTTTGATTTTTAGGTATAGTAAAATAGTAATTAATAATTTAGTATTTTTTGTTGTTTAGATTAGCAATTTATTATCTATAGTAAATTTTTGAATGAAATAATTTTCTAATATAACTACTAAAAAATTATATAAAAAATAATGAGTTATTTGCGAACTTATCGAATCGAGTTAGACTTAACTCGTTAAGATCTTGAGTCGAGTTCGAGTTTAAATCGAATCAATCCGAGTCGAGTTTGTATTGAACTTTGACCGAGTCAAATTCGAAATGTTCAACTCTTTAAGCACCCCTTATAAAAACTCTACTATCTCTTGGATGATAATTTTAAATAGATTGTCTACTAAGTAAATATTACTTTCTTTTGAAGGAAATGAAGTGATATTACAGCTATGGGTTGATTAATTGAGAGGCATATATATTATAAAGTTGAAGTTTAACCGAAAAATACCTTGGTGGTTAACTCCTTGGTTCCTGCTTGGACAACACTAGCAGCAGATTGGGCTGTGGATGCTGCTACCAATGATAACATCCCAATGCCCTGCTCCACAAACAAATTCAACCACTAAATAACAATTATCTATCTATCTATCATCGTCACAAAATGAAAATCACCCATTTCACAAGAAGGAAAAAGTAATGATTTCTTAACCTGAGACACAACGGAGAGCACGTCCCCCCGAGGATCATTATTCCTCTGGGCAGGCGTAGGACTGGATCCAAACCCAACGTATTTCCCTCCTTGGGAAGGTGGTAGCCCTTCAGGCCTTGATTCATTCTCTGCCATCTTCCTCGCGAAATAGCTCTCCTTGTTCGCCGCCGATGCCTCCAGCTCGGTCCTCGTGCGTATATCTTCTGTGGACCTCGATCTCATGGGAGAACCTCCCGCTCCCCCTCCGTTATTATTCCCTCTTGTAAAATGGTTCGCCGATTGATTCCTCCTCGTATCATTCGAAGAGCCAAAAGATTCGTCATCATCCCAACTATCCCATCCTTTATTATTGTTATTATTATTATTATTATTAATGTCCCTGCTACCACCACCGCTCAACGGCGGCCTTTTACTACCACAACCACCGTGGAGAGCCTCTTTCACGATGGGTGGGTCCTTCCACGGGCGGCCCTCAGCTAGGGCTTGGATACGATCGCGATAAATACCGGCGGCATTGGAGTTATATTTGGTAACGATATCGGTTTCTTTAGGGATACCGTACTGAGCCAAAAAAGAATTGAGCATCTCGTTACCGCCAGATTCCATTCTCGTGATCTGGATATCGGACCATGAGTCCATGGTAACGGATCGGACGAATGAGATGTGGACACCTAAGCCACGGTGTTTCCCGGAGCATTCTAAGCACATGAAAACACCGTAGGAAACCGAAGTCCATTGGGGATTCTTTTGTTTGCAATCGACGCAAGTTCCATTACCTGACTGCGATTGGAGGTCGCGTAACCGTCTCGTTGCCGCCATTTTTGAATCCGACGTCAATCGGATTCGGTTAACGAGAGAAAAGAAAGAATTATATCGGAAAAAAATCAGAGAAATGGAGCTATAAAACAAAATTTAGGAAAATTATCTAAAAAAGAGAAGGATTTTTTTTTAAAAAAATTAATAATAATGGGAGGCTAAAATTTGATGTGGAAGAAGAAAATCAGCGACACCGTTCAAACATTCTTTGGCATGTGTGCACACCCTAAAAGAAATATTCCTCATTCGACATTGTTGATCGACGACGGTCATTTCACTCCCAAACTAATAAAGGCGAACCGTCAACGGCTGACGAAACTAAATTTTCCAACTTCCTATCAACAACTATGATAATGTTTTGAGTTTCAACGTAACCATTATTCTGCAACGTTTTGATTATTGAGGTGGTAAATTGCAGGTTGAGCGAGTGGAATAGGGTTGGAAACTTCAAGAGTATTAGCTCTTCGAGGTGTTCATATCATCATCGGCGCGAGGAACTTGAAAGCTGCCAATGAAGCCAAGAAGATCATTCTTGCAGAAACCAAAACCGCACGTGTTGATGTCTTGGAGCTCAATCTTTGCTCCATTAAATCCATCAGAGCATTTGCAGACAATTTCATCGCTCTTAATCTTCCTCTCAACATCTTGATGTAATTTCGAACACCCTAATTAAACCACCATTCTTTTTAAGGAATCAATTAACACGAGTTTTACGACGTTGTCTGTCTCAGAAACAATGCTGGGATCATGTTCTGTCTCTTTCATCTTTCTCAAGATGGAATAGAAGCTCAGTTTGCAACTAATCATATTGGCAAGTTCCATGAAATTAGTAGTGATTCTTCCATTTTCTTTAATCCAAGAATG